TTTGTTGTCATTCCCACTCCTTCCCTGAATCTTCTCTTCCTCGGTCTATTTCCAATCTGCCAGCCGAAAAACTAACTACGTGTCCGTTGCCGTCTCTCCCCGCCGACCCACTCGCAATCCTAAAAATGTTAATCCGCCACCAGTCCACCTCAGATCCCGCCATCCTGAGCACTGCGTCGGAGTGAAGTTCAAACCCGCCCCTTCTGGTCTTCAACCGTCTGTCTCTCAGCCCTCCTGTAAAGCTGACGTCGGTCCTTGCCTACCGGCCATCCTTGCCGCAAGACGTAATCCGGTCCCTCCAAGCGCTGCCCTCGGAAACCCCATTTCAAACTCTGCCGTCGTGCAAACAAAATGTTGTTGCCGCTCATACCTATTCCGACTCTTGGAACAACGTAACTGTCTCTCAATCCTCCTGGAAATCTCATGGGTCTCTTGCCCAACACAACTACAACCATCGATGCCAGCCATTCTATACTGCTACAAAGTAATTTACTCTCTCTCCCTTTCCAATCCGATTCGCAAGTTTTCTATGTTTGTTTCAAAGGGAATAACAAACTATGAAGAAATTCTGGGTTGGAGGTTTGATTTTGATGACTGCTCGGTTTCAGAATTCCCAACGAGACTCATTCTCCCTTAATCCCCTTCAAGTTTTGGCTACCAGAGCTTTAATTGTTTGTTTCCCCATAATTCCGCTACTCTCTTCCAATTGAGTCTACACCAAATCGAATGAGTGTATCATTTGTGCACGTGGCTTTTGTGCTTTAGAGGTTTCTGTCAATATTACCTAATCAATATTCAAATTGAAGGGTGAAGTTGAGTGTTAATGGGTTGTAGATGTTAAGAGTTGTTGATCTGTGCCCCCAGTAAATCGTAGGGCTGGAAATTGCTTATTATTTTTTGGCTTCCAATTAGGTTATTCACAGCATGTGTCATACAATGTGGACTTAATGGTTGCGGGCTTGCTGCATATTTAGTAGTTGCTTGGTATTTTGAAGAGTTTGTTTTGGATTTAGTAGTGCCTTTGTATTGTAATCAGTCATGTGTTCTGTAACTAAGGCTAATTGGTTTTATTGATCCTTCCGTGGTTGTGCAACCATCACTGTACGTAATGCGGCATAAGCGTCATCGGGATAAATTAAAGCTTCTTATAGCCAAAACCCTCCATCAAATTCCAAATCGGCTACCATTCGATGTGATATGCTAATTCCCCTCGTACTTTGCTATTTTCATCCATAATTGCATCTAATATTTTCTGACATTGTGGACATTTTTTTATTTGTTTGCTCTAATGTGTTTCATTTCTCGCATGTTTGTGAATGATTTGAATAATATCGAGTTTAGAGTTTTAGATTATACTACATAGTTTTAGAATTTTCGTGACTCTATGGACAGAATTTGATGTTGAAAATATCATGGTTTTTTTTATGACAACAACTTAGTGCTAGTGCATTTATCATCAATTAGTCTGTGTTATTTACACCATCAGCTCCAGTTTGTGACATTTAGGACAAGAGCAACCTGATTTTGTGAATTTTCAATATTAAGGAGCAAGGAATTCTCATTTCTCCATGTTAACAGAACTATTCCTTATTTGCAATTACATGTCAAGTTCCATGAGATTATTAATTACCCTTAGATACTGTATAGCTATCCATGTAAGGAGGTAAAATGTCATTCTTTTTACGTGCAATTGTTGTTCTCCTATGCTGTCACTCCTTCTGGAAAATAGATTAGTTGTTTGTGCCCTATCAAACTCCATTTTCGCTGATGAGTGAATGGTAGAATTGCAATTTGATGTTCCTCTTATTCTTATTGAGGAAATTGATAGTGCCTTTCTTCTCCTTCACCCTCCTATAAATAATCCTCCCCATGCCAATTTTCATAACATTCTAAAACTTCACTCTCTTATGCATAATCCTCCCCATGGTAAGATGACTCTCAAATTAAGTTCAACTTAAATAGGTTATTGAGAATTACTATTCACTGGCTATGAGAATTGTTTGCTGAGTAATCATTACTGACGCCCCTACTGTTGCCCAAATCGAGAAAGCTTATGAGATTGATTGGTGTATTTATCATGTATTATTATCTTTTTGGGTATCTTCGGGTCTTCCTGTTAGTGTCCAGACATTACTTTTTATTGCTCAATTTGTGGTGATTGATGATAATAGACATTGTAAGATTGTAAGGTTGCTTTGCCACCATTTGTAATTTGGCAGAACCGCAGAAGCAAAAGTAGATGTCGGCATTACTTCAAAGTTAAGTAATATAGCAATTAATTACTCTTAAAGCTAAGTCCATCTTTAAAATATTAGAAAATTGAATTAGTTATTATTGAAATTAAATAAAGTCACGACATTAATTATGTCAGCATTTTTTTTAAACCAAAGATAGCTTGCATTACCAAGAGAAAAATAGACCAAACGTTTACAATTACGACCTTTGCATCCCCCACAATCAGCAACGACTCCCATCCCCTCATTATGCACCAGTACATAGCCTCCCGAAGTGCAACCAATTCCACCACCGCCGGATCAAACGCTCCATCCAAGCGCTCCCCTTTCGCCAACACGATGGCTCCCGTAGCATCCCGAATAACTATCCCAACTGCAGCATAAGGCTGACCACAAACAACACCATCAAAAGAACATGTCAGCTCCCCCACAAGACTCGCCGGCCCGCCCATCCCACTCAGTACCGGAGGACAAGCGGGCCTTCCAGCCCCCTTCCCTTCTAGAACCCTTTCCCACTCCCGAATCTGTTGCACGAGCTGCTGCCGGAGAATGGACCGGTGCACCTGCTCGAATTTGAAGACCACCCAATTCCGAGCCTTCCAAATGCGCCATAACATCGCCACTAATCTGCACATCATGACCTCCGAGGTTACCCGCTCAAAGACTCGTTGAAGGAAGACCACAAAATTGGTTCCGTCCAGGTCGTCTGCCAATCCAAGGACCCTGCCTACCTCCCACAACTCTTGAGCCCCCGGGAAAAGAAAGAAGAGATGCTCCAAGGATTCCAGCTCTGCCCAGCAAACCGGGAAACGCCCAAGGACACCAACCTCCTTCTCAAGTAAACCTCCGTAGTGGGCAAAATGCGGCTAAAAATCTGCCAGAGAAAGAATTTCAGCTTTGGTTGCACCTGCAGAGACCAAATGATCTTCCAAAGCTTCATATCCATCCAACTAACATCCTCTTTCCATTTAGCCCATCGGTGCCTCCTACTGAACGCCAGATGATATCCAGACTTGATCGTGTAAAAACCAGAAGAATCCTCTGTCCATATGAGTTTGTCCTTCACCTCCAAGAGGGGAAACGGAATAGCTTTAATTCATATCACCCATTGAGAAGGGAAGCAAGATACCAGGCATTCCTCACACCATTTCCCCTCCCCAGGACAAATCAAAGGCGAAACCTTATCATGTCCTGAGACGGGAGCCAAAGGCAAGAGAGGAGGAGCCTCTTGCTCCTTACCCGACACCCACAAGGCCGAGCCTATCTCCACCTCCTCCCCCATACCCATTTGCCATTGAAGACCCTGTTTGAGAAAATCACACCCATGTAAAACACTCCGCCACCCCCAGGATGGGCGAGATCGAGGACCCGCAGTTAGGAGGGACCCATTTGGGAAATACTTCCCCTTGTAGATCCTTGCTAACAACGAGCCCGACTCCTCTAAAATCCGCCATCCCACCTTTGCCAATAAGGCCTGATTGAACTCCTCAAATCGTCTGAACCCCAAGCCGCCCTCATGCTTGCTCCGGCAAAGTCTTCGCCAAGACATCCAATGTATCCGCTGCGAGTCGTTCTTCGTCCGCCACCAGAAATGTTCCATCAACCGATTCAGCCGACGACACAAAGTTTTTGGCAACAGGAAACAGGCCATAACATGAACCGGGAGAGCCACTGCCACCAATTTAAGAAGGGTTTTTTTTTGCCGCCCACGATAGATGACGATGTTGCCACCCTTGCAACCTAGAAAGGAACCTCCTCAATGAACCTGAATGTTTCCGACTTTGATCTAACAATCAGAATCGGCAAACCTAGGTATTTATCCTTGACACCAATCGCACCCACTCCCAACCGAGCAGCCATAGCTGCACAATCTGGCGCCAAAATATTCCTGCTGAAGCAAACGGCCGACTTAGCCAAATTCACCCTCTGCCCACTTAACGTCTCGTACTCCCGAAGGACCGCCAGAAGAGCGTCACATTCCTGCATGGAGCCCCTCAGAAACAAATAAGAATCATCTGCAAAGAACAAATGTGACACGGCCGGAGCTCTAGAGCTCACACGGACCCCCGAGAGTCTCCCTTCTGAAATCGCCTTATTGATCAAGGCAGAAAATCCTTCTGTACAGAGCACAAAAAGTAAAGGTGACAGTGGATCCCCTTGTCTCAACCCTCGTGACGATCGAAATAAACCGGAAGGGGCCCCACTCATGTATCCACCCTATCCAAACCGGGCTAAAACCCAACCGTTCTAAGACCGAAAGTCAGAAAGGCCATTCAACTCTATCATAGGCATTTTCCATGTCAACCTTCAGAGCCATATAACCTTTTTTACCCTTCGTCTTAATCTTAAGATAATGCATCAGTTCGTGACCAATGAGCACATTATCGACAATCTGACGCTCCCTAATAAATGCACTCTGACCTCCGACACAATGTTCGGCAGATGTGACACTAAACGCTCCACCATAACCTTGGTGATTATTTTATACACAAACTTGCATAAACTAATCGGCAGTAGCTGGCGAACATTTTTCACCTCATCCACTTTAGGGATCAAAGTCAGCCAAGTGTGATTAAAGCTATGTAAAATACGACCATTTTGTAAAAAAGACCGTACAGCCTCCACCAGCGATTGACCAACAATATCCCAAAAGCCCTATAGAATTTCCCCGTAAACCCATCTGATCCTGGCGCCTGCTTCGCGCCCATGGAAAACACCGTCTTGCGAATCTCCTTAGCAGTAACCTCTGCAATGAGCTCCGCATTCACACTTTCAGAGACTTTATGTAAAATGGGCAACTCTGCTACTCGCGCCGCAATATTCTCAACCGTAGTCTCCGATGTGAACTAATGCTAATAGAAGCCCACTGCCAACTCCGCCTTATCCTTCTCTTCAGTCACCCATTACCCGCTTGGTTTCTGCAACTTTTCCACGAAATTGCGTTTGCGTCTCGTACGCGTGACCGCGTGGAAATAAGACGTATTCCGGTCGCCCACCTTCAGTCACCAAACCCGCGATTTCTATTTCCATAACACTTCTTCAGCCTCCCATTGCCTGGCCAGCTCTTCTTCCAGACCCCGGATCCTCTCCCCATCCACTGGGGCCGCATTCTGTAAGGCATCAATCTCTGTCTGGAGCACCCGGATCTCCCTTGCTGAATTGGTCGTTCCTGCCCGACTCCAATCATATAGGAGATGTCGCAGTTTTTTAAGTCGTTGCCAAAGCCTATACATAGGAGACCCTCACTCCTCCTGGCTCCACACATACTGGACAAACAGGCGAACCTCAGGATTGTCCGCCCAACGAGCATCAAACCTAAACAGCAGCCGACAGTTCCGCACAAACGATTTATCCGCAATCAAAATCGCTCGATGGTCCGACCCTAGATTGGTGCAATATTTCACCACCGAGGATGGGTAGGCGTCCATCCACAGCGCATATCCTAAGGCCCGGTCTAGCCTCTCCATCACACAAGCATTACCCATCCGTTTATTTGTCCACGTAAATGGACTCCCCTGGTAGCCTAACTCCTGAAGACCCAAATTATCCATAAAGGCTCGAAGATCCGCAGATTGAGTTGGATTCCAGGCTGTACCCCCCATTTTTTCATTTGACGACAAGATAGAATTAAAATCTCCAACCACCAGAAAAGGAACTGTCAAAGTCGCACAAAACGCTTGCAAACAAGCAAGTTGAGACTGACGCGTTGCAGCGACACAACTCAAATACACACACACCACCATATATGGGGACTCATTATTATTAATCGTAACAGAGATAAAGAAAGACGAACTACAACCGACAGAAACACTTACATTGGGGGACCAACCAATCACTAGACCCCCTGACGAATTAACATCAACTAAAAAACAAGAATCCGACGAAAAACCTAAACGGCGCATACAACGCACTACGACCCGACGATGAGATCTCGTTTCCGACAGAAAAATCAGATCTGATTATTTGACCGAACTAGACCTAACAACGATTGGAGCATGAGAGTGGTCCCGATACCCCTCACATTCAAAGACACAAGCCTTATTTGGGCAATTGGGGCCATTTCGGGCTGGCTTCCTCCACCACTACATCATTATTAACACAAGAATTTGGAACACAAATTTTCGTCAAAGGGGTCGGATCCGCTGCAACACGTTTCCTCTCCTCCACAACCTCCATCTCTGGCGCTGTCATTCGGAAAACCTTTATTAAATTAGAGCCATACTCGTCCAGTTTCAGGTTCACCGTCGCCTTTTTCATCAGCTTAGTAGCTGAATCCACCATTTGATCCATAATAGAGAGATCTCCCTCCTTCCCCCACGCCGGTGCAGCATCCTCCACCCCCGACGAACAAATCTGATAATTTCCAGCCTGTGCGCCTCACTTGTCAGTCCTCGGTCGAGCCAGCTTTGTCGCTTGCATCCCTGCCTGCTTTCGTGTGCCTTGCGACTCACCCAGCTTATGAACATCCTTCCCCGCCAGCCCTTTATTCCTCCCCATCATATTCTCATCCCGGATTCTTCTCGCCGACCCTGCCGCCTTTTTCCCCTCCCCACTCCCCTGCGCACCTTCACCACTGTGAATTTCACCCACCACTCCCTTGCTATTCCTTGAAGATGAGCTAGCCACAGCAGCCTTCCCCTTCCCCTCCATGTTCTTCTTCCCAGCTTCCCTCTTTTTCCCTTCCATCCCACCAGCAGCGCCTTTCGACGTCTTCAAACCCATCACAACTGGCTTCGGTGCAGCCGCCATCTCCAGCCCCTTTCATCTGTCATCGTCTCGACTTTCCCTCTTAGCAGCCCCCTCCAGGTTCGGATTAATCCAAACTGATTTCGGCAACCGAGGCACTTCTGCATTCAGTCTGTAGTCGATAACATTCGTAGACATCCTCGGACCATACTCCTCATCCCCTTCCGGATCTGGGAAAGAGCAATTCTTCTCCAAATGTCGCAATCTCCCACAATGGTAACATAATAGCGGTAGGAACTCATAGATAAGATACACCCAGAACTCCCCCGCCACTTCATTACGAGCACACAACTTTGATCTCAACGGCTGCAGCACATTCAGCTTAACCCTTGTTTTAATGAAATTCCCAAACTCCCCGCAGATGCCGAATAGCCCTGCATCCAGTACCTCCTCAATTTTTGCTTCGGCCATGGTTCTCCTGAATGCCACCTCTCGGCAATGCAAGGGGATCCCCCACATCTGAACCCAGAATGGGGAAAATGCTAAGGATTCCATAATCGCCTCAGTTATCGGTTCCCACTTCTGTAGCTGGAGGACATGATCCTTGACCGGCAACGGAGTTCTTTGCAGCACCCGTTCCATATCTTCATCATCATCGAAGAGGAACTGCAGCAGCCCACCCTTCGCTTCCATAATGACCACATTCTTGGAGCAGTTCCATGCTCCTTGCACAATACGCAGAATGACAGAGAGGCTGGGACGTGTTTCCATGAATAAGCGGCCAAGCAGGCTTGACTTAGCTCGCTTCATGCTAGTCTCCACATCCATAGTCGGGAAATCCACAATCTGGTCCTCATGAACTGGTTTGACACCAGCGTCCTTCCCTGATCCGCCCTTCTTTGTCTTCATCAATGAGGACGCCATGTTCGCTTCCCGCACAACCTGATCCCTGTTGATCACAAACACAAAGCAAGAGTCTAAACACTCTTTCCACATTCTGTCCGCCCATAATAGCAGCTTAAAAGCAAGTTTTCGCAACCAAGCCCCCAACCCAGAGTTCTTCACATAGAAATCATAACATAAACGAGTCACCAAACCCCAGCAACATATCACCAAGTTTTGAAACCACCTCAAGATTCCCATACCTGGGTACTGAGTTCTTTCTTCTTCACGTTCAACTATCGCTCGCGTCTGCCAATCACCTTCACAATTAGGATGAGTAGAAATGGAAGAGTGATTTTGGTAGCGACGCGCAGTGGTTAAATAGACCCACTTCGGGGCCAAGTGTAGCACCGTCTCCTGAACAGACTCTCGATTCGAGTCTATCCCATCATATATTTTCAGGAGGAGGTATCCCTCTAAGAGTCCTCTTCCATCCTGATCTTCAGCCTCACGAGATTTTCTCGCACATTCCCAATCCCGAATTTGAGGGATTTTTTTTTTTATTTTCTTCAGTATTCTCATATTTTTCTCTTTTTTTTCCAGCGAGGAAAGAGGAACCTGATCCTTTCGGTTCAGCTGAACACCGCCGCCCCTATCCTCCTTTGCCACACCCTTCGGTGGTGATCGTCGCCCACCTGGGACCTCGGCCCACCGAAAACAAAGCCGGCGTCGAATACTCTCACATCCCCCATCGGGATTCCACCGTCATTTCCTTTTCCCAACTCCCATTTCTCGCCTTGCCGCATGCAGGATGCCAGATCCAATCCCAAGCTCGAGAATCACCGGCCGTCAAATCGGCGCCGTTCGCTCCCCACCAGCACACATGGCTAAGCAGAGGAGTAAGACTGAGAGGAACGCACGCCCACCATTTGCGAGCAGGCAGAGGAAGCTTAACCAAACGAACGAGCAACCTTCGATGAGAAGAGAGGACAGAGCATGTACTCTCATTTTTTCCCCCTTTTGAAAAAAGCTAGCATAATTATGTCCTCATTTTAACAAACACAAGATAGATAAAAGTATAAAATGGATGACAAGAGCATACAATTGTGAGAGGGAATCGTAGGAAGGACATATAGGGTCTGGTATCTTTTTCTCTATTTATATTTACTAGCGTGGGCGCCAGCCATTTGGCCGGAGGAAGGTGAGGTATGAAATTTATTTTTGTAATAGGGTTTATAGCTTAATTATGTATAGTTTTTTTTAGAAACACGTGATAAAAATAGTAAATTTTAGTAGGAAAGAGACATGAATGATGCAACAAATCAAAAATCAGCCTTATGAACCAAAATCAAGTATATGTTACCTTGTGACACAATATTGTTTCTGGTAATATGATGAGATGGAGTAAGTTTTATAGAAACCGAATTCCAGAAAATCGAATAAAAAATCGCATATCTTGCCAGTTTTCGGGAAATGAGCATCTCACAATTGTTGCTAGCTTTTACTCGGCCCGTTGGCCGATTAATTTGCTTTATAAAACTTTCATCTTGTCATCATTGTGCTTTCTGGTTTTTTGCCAAGCCATGATAAAATCTAAAGAAATCAAGAATGAACAACACGATTTGGGATAGGAACCACCGTTCCTGTATCCCTAGAAAATGGTGGTAAACACGGACTTACCTGCCAAACTGGTTTGGATTGAGATTTTTATCGGGTATCAGGGAACCATGTGATTATAAATTAGACTTGATCAAAACGGGCCAAAACTTGAAATTCAGCCTGTTTGACCGACCCATGCCAAACTCTAATTATTCTTTACTTTTAAACTTTCTATTTGAAAATTAAAAAATAATGAAAGAAAAGAGATGACAGCAATTCGCCATTTGCACATCACTGATTCGGGAATAAAACTATAGAATTTCGAAAGGAAAATGAAAATATTTAGGATTTTTTTAATGTTAAAAATAACCAAATAGATCTTTTTGTTTAGTTTTTTACTAACAAATACAAAACGATTCCCTCTACTATAAACTATAATTTAATCATTATGATATCAAATAATTACATAATATATATTTGAAATGATAAAAATTGGACTAATTAGGTTGGTCGAGGTTGAACCATTGAATAACTTTAAAATACACTATATTTTAACCACTAAGATATAAAATAATAGCATAATATATATTATGCTAGACAAAATAGCTTGTTTTAGAATGGCAAACCCATGATGTTCATTTGTTTTACTTGATGGGCAAATTCCGTGTAGGTCAGGCTCATTCAACTCTTTTATTTTATGATTAGCGGTTAGTCCATTAGAATCCATCCATTAGTTTATTGTCATTCAACTCTTTTATTTTATGATTAGCGGTTAGCCCATTAGAATCCATCCATTAGTTTATTGTTAAATGTTTTTTCTTTTTAGCAATAAAAAGGAGTATTGTTTTTTCCTTTTCATATATATATTTTACCACCACGGAGAAATAAAAGGACTTAAAATAAATTGACAGTCCTGGACCCGTTTAAATCCGCATGTGTACGGTAAGTTGGCCCGTTCCTCAGAGGAAAAAGAAAAAAATTGACACTCCCTATTCTACCATTCCTACAAACACTCCTGGAGCAAGGAATTTGAAATGGGAAAATGGTTTTTTTCTCTCTGCGATTATATGTTTTTAATTTAAAAAGATACAATAAATGTACTTAGTGTGATTGGTTATGATCTTTGCTTTCTTTAGAGTGGTCATGCTTCGAATCCTAGTAAGTGTCTTTTTAATGAATAAAAAAAAAGTAATTGTGAAGACCTGTCCTTCCTACTTTCACTCTGAATGCAGGAAATTTGAAATGGGGCTTCAAGTTTTCTCATTTGGGTTTTATTTATTGTGTAGATTTTTATTACTTCACTCCACTTACTATCTATGCTCTAGATCTACAAAATATTGAGCATTTTTGCATTCTACTTTCCTTATGATGCAACCATCCACACAGAAGCAAACTCAGTAAGCACAAAAAATTTCATCTAATATATAATATCTTAGTGAAAATTGAAACTTGCACACACAATTATATAATACTAGGAATAGTACGGGTTGCGGAAAATGGGTGAGAATTTCATTGGTAAATAAATCATTGAAAAAAATTAAATTAATATTTTTTTTTATAAATTTGATATTTGTAGTTTTTGGTAATTTAAAATACTTGCTTAGGAATTACTTGACTCAAAATGAATTTCCAATAACCAATTTCTATGTCGAGAAGTAAAGACTTTTTTCATGGTCTTGTGAACTGGTAAAAATAAACCAAAGCAAACAGGAACAAACTAACCTAGCAGAACATTCAACAAAGACATGGCACAATAGGAATAAAAACTTATCATTGGGTGAAGAGCTGATTCCCAATAAGAGTCGAGAATTTGTGCATTTCTATCTCTCTCTGTTTTCTTGACGTTCCAAATCTTTCTCTCATGCTCAATATTCTTCTAATTTAACTCATGTATTTTTAGTATCCTTTTGTTCAGCGTGTCTACTTAAAACAAATTAGGATTGGGAGACTATTCAACTCCACAGTAAATACATGAGAACATTCGTTAAAACGAAATCAATGTCACTCGTAAACTTTACACAAATACACGTCTAAAGTTGGAATCTGACAATTGAATCCAAAAATATCATTTAAAAAGGATTTCAATAAACCACAGTTAACCTAGAATTTTGTACAGGAAGTGTATTAATTACCTTGTGTGAGGGGGAAATGAGATCTGAGCAGCAATGCCTCTTCAAGTGAAGCGTCAAAAGGGTATAGTGCTTCCAATTGCAGATGGTGAGAACTGGCACATGCTATCTCAACAATCAACTGCGCCAACTTTGAGCCTTTACGTATCATCAAACCATAAAACACATATGCTTACTAATTGAGTGAGGAGAACAACATGCCAGTGTAAGAATTAAACTAAACTATATGTAATTCCCTGAAAAATTATCTTAACAGATTATCAAAGATTAATGATAGAAAAGACTTGAATTCACTGTCAATTCATTGTACTGCCAGGAGAAGTGACACCATCCGTTAGCTTCTTTCTCGGCTTGGACATGTGCGGTATGAAAGTTTCTCTTCTTGCATTCCTCAGTCAAGGCATTTAGTTCCAAAAGCTTATTAACAATTAAGTTAATCCCTATTATGACCATTTCTATGCTTGAATTGAGATTTGCAAAGAACACGCTGCATCATTCAACCTTGTCCAACGACGTGGGAAATCAATGAACTGAAGTTGTCTGTTCAAACTAATTAGTTAGCAAATAGTCAATTCCACCGTTTAAGAGTAAATTACTAAACTGAGTTTGCTCGTTTCAAGCTCTTTAGAATCAAACACAAAATCACATAGCATCAGTAATTCAACTAACTAAAAGCCTATAACCAGAGCCTTATATTGGTATGCTAATGAGAAGCTTTTCTCCCAACACATATCAAATCAGTGTCTTTGGATTTCATTGTTAGATCACTTGTATTAGCTCGCATATATAACCAAATAGTTAATATAAATGTGCAAAACATGTGGCCCACATAATTATTAGAAAATAGAATTTTCTAACAACCAGACCATATGCCTGCCTGTAGTTCGTTCTCTATATGTTCTCTGTTGGTAATAAATCAATCTGAAACAGAAGAAAATAAGGGGAAGAAGGTGACAAGGCCACCAACTCTTGAGCGGCCGATTGCAGGCAACTAAGAGATCAGATGAGAAGAAGAATATGATACTTAGACTGATCAAGAAAGATTTGGATATAATGAGGATCTTCTAGAAGCTGAAAAACCAGAGTCGATAGACGAATCACCATAGCTAGGGCTTTCTATGGTTGCTGAGAAGGAAAGAACTTGGTTGTGAGCGAGACTATGAATGGAAGATGGGAAACGCACATCAATGTGAATTTGAATTGAATTGAATTTGTTGGCAATATCATCCTTCCTCTTTCTTCCTTTGAAGGGAAACATATCTCTTTCTCATAGCTAGGACTGTCAATTCGAGTTTCTCCATGTCATCCTTACCCTTCTCTCTTTAAAGGGAAACATATCCCTTACTCGTAGCTAGGGCTTTGAGTTCGAGGAGGAACCAACTATATACAAGGGGAAAGTAGGGTTGAAAAGCGAAAAAATACATACAGACTATGAGCTTGCTCAGCTGGTCTTGGCCAACCCAAGGCAGTAAACGGACTTACAATAAAATCGGCCACAACTTATCTAAAAATTCTAGGGTGAACCGTAGCTCTGAAAATTTCTTAATGAACAGTGGCCCTGATTTTTTAGAACTTGCATTTTAATAATTCTAATAACTAATTGAAGATTATGACAGTTAGCTAGGGTAAGGAATCAAGCAATGAATAATCCCATAAAAAATTCATCTCTAAAATATTATGACAAACAAATTAGTAATTTGTTATATAATAGATAAATGTACAACATTAATTATGTTAGCAGTTTAACGACACACGATCAATATATAAATAAATAAAGACGAAATGGATGACAAGAATTGACAATCGCTAGAAGGAGAATGCAGGAAATATGTTTTGAAGGGTTCGATCTCTTTCGTTCCACGTCTCCTTTTCTTTCTTTCTTCACTCCACTCTACTAGATAGGGCCTTGGTGTCAACTAGGACGAGCTTAACGAGAAGAACACAACGATTTTAACGTGGTATCTAGAGGTGAACAAATACACTCGTAAATCGACTTATCTGTCAAACCCGATACAACCCACACGTATTTATTGCTAAAACTAATGTTTAGAATTGGGTGAGGGTTTTTTTTACAAACCGCCTCTTTTAGGTTGGGTTTGGATTTAGGATTACACAACCCGGACCAACCCGTGTTACAACTATTGGTATGAGTTCATATCCAAAAAATATTTATGTCGTATATAGACATACTTATGAGAAAATTAAGATATTTTGCCATATTTTTATCTCATGGTGTCCCTAATCTAATGCATTTTTAGATTTAAAGTTTAGACATAGATTTTATATAACTATGATTCATGTAATTTTTTTTTCTTGTATACAATTTTAATAGAATATCATATTATGGATGCGTTCGTTTATAACTTTATTAGCCTATTTTCGACAAATGTCGTGAAAAAAGCAGACATATGTTGAAGTAAATCACATTTTATTAAAATTCAAACAACATTTATGCATTTTGATACCTTCCACCGCGG